CAACATAACAAGGGGGCGGAGCCAAGAGCTCCCACCCTCTGTGTTTTTAACAGACAGGGTGACAGACAGAGAGAGAAGCTAAGCTAAGCTAGGATGAGCATTCACCCGTACATGTACGAGTCGCACACAGACCAAGCAGAGAGTACAAAATCATTTGTGTCATTAGCCCCTTTCACACATACAGACCTTTCCGGAAAATTACCGGCAATTTTTACGAAAAGGTTGTATGTGTGAACAGGTCCTTTTTGAAAATACCGGTAAACTCGTTCTGGCTATTTTCCGGAAAGAGAAGTTGTAACATTACCGGCAATTTGCCAGAATGCTGCGCTGTGTGAATGCAGAAGGAATATTGCCGGAATAAGCGCGTGCACGTCTAGAACGTGCTGACGTGAGACGTCTGCTTTAGCCAATCACAACAGTCAGACGCATTTACGTCCGCGCGGTTTATGAGAATAAAAGCCTTTGAATATTTTTCCAGACACATTTAGCTGCTAGAAGTTAGTCAGATCACATTTATATGTTCTTCTTAATGCCGACTGTGTAAATAATCATCGATGAGATGCTTATGATAAGCCGTTGTTTGTTTACCTTCAAGCTTTGCGTGTGCCTGTGAACACGCACATATTATGAACATCTCGACATGCGAAAGTGATCCTGCGAAAGTTGTTTACAATATTGATCATCTACAGAGTTTGTAATTTAGTCAAATGTTTACAAATACAAGCACAGCCGTTTAAAGCTCATTTGTGGTGAATGATTACAGATTACGTCCTCGCCTGTGTGAACAGCGCTTTTTTGAATATACCGGTAAAGTCGTTCCGGAAATTTTCCAGAATTTACCGCTATCACTGTGGGAAAGGGGCTTTTGTATAGTCTCTGTGTACAAGTGCCGAGCTTGTACACCGAGACTAATAACCACACACACTGAATTAACTTTGACTGAGGCACCAAATGCGACGCGACACGGCACACCAGACACTCAGTGACGCGGCAGAAACATGGAGTGTCCCGAATTGTCGCGCCACGCAGTCCAGAACTCAAACCTTCACCAGGGCAAACACAACGCCATCGCGGGCTCCGCGGCCACCGAGCCGCTGATCCAAAGCTTCGCCACGTGCACCCCAACAGAAACCCTAGCCCAGAACTCCAAAATGCACGGCGCCGCACCACGCAAAAGGTACAAGCAATAATTCCGATCACAGCGATAATGTGGACAATATTGATCTTGTGTTGAGCCGTATGAGCTTTTCATCAAAAAAATAGAGCAAGGGTGTTCCTTTAGTGATGTCGCTTTGACTCACACACTGAAAATGGCGGACGTGCAACAAGAAACTGAGGATATGATCGTGACGCGAGGCTGTCAATCAATATCTGTGGGCAGGGGGACCGCTCTCCTACGTAAAGTTGCAGTCGGTCTGAAAACCGCTCCAATTGGTCCACCGTTTTTATGTTGTTAAATTCTAAAAAAAAAAGGACTGTGTGTGTTTATATCACCCTAATATGACGGTCTATACACTATCCTTGCACACATGTCTGTCCAAACAGCTTGAAAAGTAAATTTTTCACCATAGGTGCCCTTTAACACACACACACACACATATTATATATATTTAATTTATACCTGTCATTGTGAATCTAGACTGCCAGCAGTCATTCATTCATTCATTCATTCATTTTGTCAGCTTAGTCCCTTTATTAATCCGGGGTCGCACAGCGGAATGAACCGCCAACTTATCCAGCAAGTTTTTTTTTGCAGCGGATGCCCTTCCAGCCGCAACCCATCTCTGGGAAACATCCACACACACATTCACACAGACACACTCATACACTATGGACAATTTAGACAGCAGTTTTGACAATTTAGACAACAGAAGGAAAAAAAACAGCTGAGTGGACACAATCGAACATGGGTTCGGACCAGGCATTCGGACCAAGTGTGAAAGCACCCTTAATCGTTTTGACAGTGACAAGTGCTGTTTAATCTAACTTCATTCATGCTTTCATTTTCCTTTGGGTTAGTGCCTAATTTATTAGGGTTCACCACATCGGAATGAACTACCATCTATTCCAGCATATGTTTTACGCAGCTTCCAGCCACAACCCAATACAAGGAATACCCATACACTCTCAAATTCACACACACACTCTACGGACAATTTAATTGATCCAGTTCACCTCTTTGGATTTTCATGTCTTTGGACTCTGGGGGAAACCCGGAGCATCCGGAGGTAAACCACACGAACACTGGGGGTGAACATGCAATCTTCCTCCAGAAACGCCAACTGGTCCAGCAGGGATTCAAACCAGCGGCCTCCTTGCTGTGAGGTGACAGTGCTAACCAATGAGCCACCGTGCCACCCTAAATATAACTTGTTAACCTTTTTGTCAACCTAACAACTGCTGTGTAACTAGGCAGATTCACAGTTTCACGGTATTGTAATTACTGCTCTAAAATATTTTATTTTTAAATGTCTGGGTAAAAACAACAACTGGTAACACTTTATAATAACTACACACTATTTATTTAAAATTATTAATTAAGCAATAGCAAATAGTGAATTCATTATCTGTTAAGCATTAACTCTACATAAATAACTGTCAGTGAGCAGTTTATAACTGCAGATACAAATACTCACTTTTTAGACAATCACATTTATAATGTGCTTAATAACTGCGCTTTCATACTTTGTTAATGATAAATTTTTCATGACTAAATTAAGAATTGCATTATTTACAAACCATTTATTTAAGCATATTTGGTGGTTTTTAAAGATCATTCAGAATGAGTTAGTAAATGATAAATAAACTATTCAAATTAACATTTATAACTCTAATTATTCAGACATATACTACTAGTTAATTTGTATGTTAATAAATGCTTTCTTAACTCAACTTTATACAGATTTGTGAGCTAATCTAAAGTGTGGACTATTTATGCTTCGTAAATCCCTTATAATTGACAATTAAAGGCTCAGTTATATTTTAAAGAGGAAAAAAGAGCATGAATGACATTATTCATTTATTGAAATTGAAATGAATGAAAATAAATCTTTTCAACCTTATCTAAAATAAAATTACTGAACAGTTTATAATATTGAACAACATTGAAATGTATCATATTATATTGTTGTTGTTTTGTCCAATTTGATGTTATATTTTGGCACTCCTGTTTAAACTTTACAGTAATAGTCACTTTTTAGATAAGATTGCAAAAATTATTGTTTATTTAATACCGAGCCTTTAATTGTTATTTATAAGGGATTCATAAAGCATAAATAGTCCTCACTTTAGATTACAAAATTGAAGTTGAGTTAATAAAGCATTTAATAACAAAGTAACCATTACTATATGCCTGAATAATAAAAATTATAAATGTTAATTTCAATAGTATGGCGACGCAGTGGCGCAGTAGGTAGTGCTGTCGCCTCACAGCAAGATGGTCGCTGGGTTGCTGGTTCGAGCTTCGGCTCAGTTGGCGTTTCTGTGTGGAGTTTGCATGTTTTCCCTGCGATCGTGTGGGTTTCCTCTGGGTGCTCCTGTTTCCCCCACAGTCCAAAGTCATGCGGTACAGGTGAATTGGGTAGGCTAAATTGTCCGTATTGTATGAGTGTGTGTGTGTGAATGTGTGTGTGGATGTTTCCCAGAGATGGTTTGCGGCTGGAAGGGCATCCGCTGCATAAAAATGTGCTGGATAAGTTGGCAGTTCATTCCACCCTGGATTAATAAAGGGACTAAGCCGACAAAAAAAAAGAATGAATGAATTTCAAGAGTTTATTAATCATTTACTAACTCATTCTGAATGATCTTAAAAACCTCCAACTACTCTTAATTACAAATGGTTTGTAAATAATGCATTACTTAATTTAGTCTTGAAAAATCAACCAGTCACAAATTATAAAAGTGCTGTTATTAAGCACATAATAAATGTGGTTGTAAGTCATTAATACAGCATTTATAGCTGCAGTTATAAACTGCTTAAGGACATTTATTAATGTAGAGTTAATGCTTAACAGATTCACTAGATGCCAATGCTTAATAAATGATTTATAGTGTGTAGTTATAGTAAAGTGTTACCCAAGAACGTTTTTTCTCTTTTGAACAAAAAATATTTTATTTTGAGAAACATTTATAATATTTTGGAGCAGTAAACATGTCAGGCTAAATAATTCAAATGAATCATTGACTTCTGCTGTCTTCATTTGTTTTAAAAACACTGATTTCTTTCAAATTTAAAATGAAATCTTTGGATATCTTTTCTGATGGATATACTGTTGTCCTAAAAAACGAAAAAAAAAAAAAAAGTTAAATAAAAAATCTTACACATACCTTAAGGACGGTATAGCTGAAAAGTTTGGCGGTTTTAAAACCTTGACTTTTCTAAACTGCAATAAACCTTAAAAAGGGTTATTGTCCCATGCCTGTGTGTAAAATCTACTTTTCAATAACATTAAAATAAAAGCTTATAACAAATGAAATCCAAAATGAAGCTTTACTGAATAGTGGCAACTGATGTTTCTAAATGCTTCAGTTCATCACTTTAACATTTTCCAACAAAAGTGCTTTCGCCTGCTTACGCAACAAAACTTGCTCCCATGATGAAAACGTATTGTGGGAGGCTGTTGCTAGGATATTCTGGATGGTTGCTAGGAGAGCTTTCTCATGGTTGTTTCTCCTTTAATGTAAATATGTGACATTTTCTCCATCGTCAGCCAGGTGGAAAAACATTGAATTCTCAGCATAACAACAAATGTTAAACCTCAGATGCAGCAGCTAAATATGACTTGAGGAAGTTTGTGGTTTATCACAGTCACATGTCAGTCAAGTGTCCACAGTCCACACGTATGACTGTCTGACTGGTCTGACTTGATTATTTGTCACAAGTTTCTTGCAACACTCTTCTCACAAATCTACTGAGAAATCCCTTTGTTGGCTCTTTATATTGATTTCCCATTGCACCACAGCAAGTGAATGAAGATTATGGAGAGCAAACACTCTCTTACCTTGCGGTTTGGCGGAGAGCACCTCCTTAGTGATTGACACCTTCCCGATGACATCATCCCGGCTGTGAAAAGAGCAGTTTTTCAGAAAAAAAAGCAGACAATATATTAATCATCACTGTTACACTGCTGTTAAAATCATTGATGTCAACCATCTCAGTAGTTTAAAGGGATAGTTCACCCAAAAATGAAAATGACCTCATTATTTACTCTTCCTCATGTGGTTTTACACCTTTTTGAGTTTCTTTCTTCTGCTGAACACAAAACAAGCCATTTTGAAGAATGCTAGTTACTGAGACCTATCGATTTCCATGGTAGAAAAAAATGACCATCGAAGTCAATGGGTGCCAGCAACTAGCATATTTCAAAATAGCTTCTTTTGTGAAGAAAAGAAGAAAGCAACTGAAATAGGTTGTGTACAATGAAGGATGAGTAAATGATGACAGATTTTTCTTTTTTTTGGGGGGGGGCGAGCTATTCTTTCAAGGTAAAGAGTGTTCTGTGGCAATACTGGAAAACAATATTGCAAAAGAGTTTTTCCTCTGGTTCAAAGTCATTACAAAAAACATGTTGATAGCCTCTTTCATACAGTGACACCAGGAGTGACACTAGGAGGCTATCGACATCCAAATAATTTCTGGAATGGCTTTACTAGTAAGATAAAAAAGCGCTGTTCACACAGGCAAGGACATTCTGGATTTTTCCAGAAAAGACCATTCACTAGAGGAGTAATGAATCGCAAACCTCACAGTTCGGATCACACAGTGTTTTTTCAGTCACGAATTGGACCATTTTTTGGATCAGCCGAAAAGGCGAGGAGACAAATGTATATTGCTTTCCATTTATGATAGAAACAATACTGCAATAAGCTTTTGGTTTCAGAACATAGAAATTGCCATTTTATTTTAAATAAAATGAAGAAATAATCAGCTGAATAAAAATAAATAGTAAAATATTTAGTACTGAAAAATTCACTACTGTTGCTGATAACGCTAAATGAAGAAATATAACAATATAATTTGTACAACCCATAATTATTTACTCATAAAACGTCATGTTTTATTGCTAGAGGGATCATTTTTAAAGAATTATTCAGTTATTCAGTATTATTAATATTTTTGATGGCTGGTTAAATAATGTAATTGCTATATGACGGTGAATTTAATATTTAGCATAAACATCAGTTGTTTTATCTAAACCAGTGGTTCTCAAACTGTGGTACGCGTACCACTAGTGGTACGCGGGCTTCCTCCTAGTGGTACGCGGAGGAATCGCTGAATAATGAAAGAAACAATTAACACTTTAATCCTTTAATGCGTCATATAACATTGATGTGATCAGCATTGGCTGTTTTGTGAAGCGTACGATCACAACACTGTGCTTAGAGTGTTTGTTTTAGTGCACTGTGTCATAAGCTGCTGAAAATCAGTTTCCGAAGTTTAAGAATTGATTCTGAAGCGTGATTTGACTGACATGAAAAGTGGCCAATCACAGTCGACCTTGTCTAGTTGCGTGAAACGTAAGGGCGGGACAAAGGCTTTCTGTGTTGCAGAGAAAGAAAAAACTACTTAAAAACAAATGTTTTGTTGGAATAATGCTTCTCGGATGTTTTCACTATAGAGATGTCTAGCAGAGTAATTAAACCGCGGACATATTTCCTGCCTATTTGATGATCTTCATACACGTTTCGCTCTCCGACAGCCAGTCGACTCGCCTCTGACCTGTCACTCCTCTAAACACAGTCTGAATGGCAGCGCGGGAATGGAGGTATTGCGCAATAACTCATTTCTGCAAATGCGGCGAGTGCTTTATTTTAACACGACAGCGCAATTATGTACGCAAATCGCTAAAACAGATATGCGAGCTCTTAAATAGGCTTTTTTGAAATGAACTGCAAGTGCTCTCATGATCGCCTGTGTGCTCAGATAGAATACAATCGCGATCTCTCCGCTATTAAAGTAGACATTATTTATCTTTGCTCCTTAACTAAATTTAGTCAAAAGTATTCAAAGTTATCAAATATTTAGAATTAGATTGATTCATGATCGATGACAATGCTAATGGTATTTTTATTTGGCTGTGTTGTGAAGTGAAACTTACTTTTAGCAAAGGTGGAACATTTTTTATTTCTTTACGACAAAATAATTATGCTGGAAATGTTTCTGGATGAGGTATTTGTGTTATTTATACATTTAGCTGTATTCTGATCTGTCCTAAAGCATTACAGGTCAAAGCAATCCATTGTTAGCCTACTTATTGTTTATTTATCACAATTTACATAGCTCTTAAAGCACTGCTTTGATAAATGTAGTGTCGTCATATTTCAAATACCTCAAGTAAAATGAAGTCATTTGTTTTATTTTTTTTACTGACAGTGTACTTGTATTTTTTTACGTTTCTATTTTAGATTAAGATCAAGTGTAAAATAAAATCTACATGTGATGTACAGCTATTTAAGAAACAAATTTGCCATATTGTAAAGAAAATAGTGTAAAATATGTAAATAAAAGGCTAAATTTAAATCTTTTTACCATATACTTTAATTTAACCTTTCAAAGCTTAAATATATATATTTTGAAAAATGGGCAAAAAGTGTCTCTACGGCCTTAAAGATTATGTGGTAGTTTTACCAGTGCTATTGAAAAAGATTAATTGTCATGAAAGGAAAAATTGACTATACTTTCTTTGTTAGTGCAAATTATACATGTAGCTTTGGGATGTAAGCAATCAAACCATTAAATTAGGTTTACACTTAAAAAAAAAAGTGATTTCATAATGAAAATCAGATTTTTTTTCAAAAATAATCAACTAGTACTTTTTAAAAGAGTAATTTGTACTTTTACCTAATATTAGTATTATTTACTTAAATTTTTGTTATTTTAGCAGTGTATTTTTACTTGAGTACAAAAAAGATTTCACAAGCACTTTTAATTTCACAAGCACAGTTAATGTTCAGACTATTTCAAATGTTTAAAGTGACTGACAATAATACATATTCTTACTAATAGGAAGTAATCTGCATCGTTTTAAAACTGTACACACCTGTAGCTGCTTAATTAGGCTTACGACGCTATTTTTTAATACTGGTTAAAAAATAGCGTCGTAAGGTGGTACTTGGAGAGGCAATTTTTTTCTAAGGTGGTACTTGGTGAAAAAAGTTTGAGAACCACTGATCTAAACTATTAACTGTTATCCCCCTACTTCTGTGTTATTTGACTGTTTGTCTCTTCATAACTAACTCAAAACACTAAAGACTAAATCTCTTGATTTTTGCATTATTCAAGCACAGATTTGAATGCAGCGATTCAAAGAATTAATAAACATATGCAAATCACCATCATTTATAATTTATGTTGCGTGGGTGTTGAGATCCTGATCTAATAGTGCAGCTTACAGTGAATGCATTAATAAACACCTATAATAATCTAAGAAACTCATCACATCCTGAATAATCTACCACAACTCCTTCCGTAATCATTCTATTTTACAGAAAAGCCTAAATGCTTTCATACATGTGATTTGAATGAGGCTAGAAGCAATTCTCTGTGATCGTTACAAACTTAAGATTAATCTACAAGTAAAAAAAATAAACTAATCCACAGGTCATGTATGTTCAACCATGGGTTGTGATCCGTACAAATCACGGATCAAGCGTGATACATTACACCGCTACCATTCACACATTCAATCCAAAATAGTGTTACAGTCTGACATCATTAACCAGAAATGACCTCTAAACGGCTGTGCTTGTATTTGTACACATAATAGGGGTCATGCTTTTGTCGATGGTTTCACTTTTATTTAAAGCTTTAGCATTTATTCTTTTGTCCCAGAGACATCCAAAAGCGCTAACCGCAGCTAAATGTTTACACATTTGATGACATTACAAATTCTTTGGATGGATGAGTATTGTGTACAAGTTTGATGAAAACAGATTTAAACAAAGCAGCATTCTGGCCAATTATCAGAAATGTTACAACTGCTCTTCCTGGAAAATTGGAACAAATTTACCGGTAAATTTTAGAAACGTTTTTTTAAAAAGGGTCATGACCTAAATCTTAGGTCAGATTTAGGTCATGACATCAGGTGACCAAAATTCAATGTCTAGCGAGCATCTAAGGACAAAATTTTGTTGACGTTCAATGACGACATCAACTTACGTTAACATTTGGTTGTTTTTAGGTTGTGTTGGAAGGTGACCAAAATCCAACGTCTGATAGATGTCATAGTGTTACCGTTCACAGAACGTCAAGGGCAACAGGATTAGACGTTGATATTTGGTTGATTTTAGGTTGCCTTTAGGTTGGACATTGTTCATTAACGTTGGCCTGACGTTGGGTTCTGACATCGACCCGATTTTTATTTCCAAGCAAAATCCAACATCCCTATGACGTCCGATGTTGACGTCCTTTGCCTGCAGGATAAGTTTCATGACTTTGTCGATGTCAATTTCAAAGCAGTGGACCAATCAGAAGACTTGAGATGGGGCAAGCATTCCGTTTGTGTGCTTTTGTTTTTAGTAGCAAGTAAGCATGACCAACTCGTTTAAAGTGATGGCAAAATGGCATAAGCGATTCGCTTTGACACAAAGACGTATTTTGTGTGAACACTGCTTAAACATTCAAAGAGTCTTTTTTAGCTTGTAGCTATGCTGATGCTAGGGTGGACTGAGTGTTTGTGAGGTCAAATTTCAAACTCTAAATTTTAAGAAGATTTAGTGAATTTGCTGCAGAAAACGATTGTTTAATTTTTATTCTGAACTGATTCAGTGTAATGGTTTCAATTGTACTTTTTATCACCTATATAGTTCACTTGGATTAGTTTTTTTTTAATGTATTCTATGGACTTTCTTACTTCTTTTGCAGATGTTAGTTCCTGTTTCCTTTTTCTGTGGATATTCATTAGCTGCATTCACGTAAACACTATAGTTTTGAAATGACAACACATGACGTGACCAAGGATATTCGAGGGTATTTCAAAACAACAAATCAAAAAAACGCATTCAAAATTTGTTGAAAAACTAAAATAAAAACTATGCCAAAACATACCACCTACAATTATAACTGAAGAATGTGCAGTGGTCACATAGCTCTTTGAAAATTCCCAGGTTACAAATTGTAATTACGAGTTTGTACTAAGATGTTAACACCTTTTAACTGGTCAAAATCTTGTAGTTACGATATGATGTTAATGCAGCTATGTCCTTTGTTTCAGTATAGCTGGTTGGTTCTTGTCGTGAATGAGAATAAATATCAACAATGTACTTAAATAAGAAAAAAATCCTTTAAGATACATTTCTCGCTTTTAATAAACCATTAACTATGACTTTTGCCTCAATACACTCATAGTTAGATGCTTATGAATAACTGTTAAGGTAGCAGTTGGGTTTAGGTGTTGAGTAGGATTTGTAAGTACTAATAAATACCCAACATGTAATAATAGGCATCCTAAAAAAAGCAATCAGTTAATAGTGTGAATTGCTACCTATATTAAAGTGCTACCTATATCAAAAGTCCTTTGACGTTTTAAAAATGTTTCTTGTACAATGTCAGAATGAACTCTTTTCACAGATGTTCATAAAATCACTTAAAAGCTGTACTATACATGCCAGGCCAGTAGTGGCAATGTTACTTTGTAAAGCAACACTATGTACCTGTGCACATGCGGTCCCGTAGTCCACCATCGTTGTTTTGATTCTTAGGTACATGTTGACTGATCAAATAATATGCAAAACATCAACCTTTCAACTTTTTTTAAAGGTTGGCATATTCCGGACATAAAACATTGTGTAAATATATGGTCAGGATGCATTAGAAATGTATTTTGAACAAAAAAATGCTGTTTTCTTTATCCTGCCTCAAATATTCTTTCATTCCTGCAACCAACGCTGAAATAGGTTGTCTTTTCTTCTCTTTGTATATTTCCAAACATATATGCTGCCGGTTGAGTCACGGTTGGGATGTCGGACTACTCAAGCATTGAGGGCAATGTTTTGAATCACACACTTCACCTTCAACCAATGTAAGTAGTTTTTGGATTAGTATAGGACCAGACCTGAGAGAGTCTTCATCCAGCACATAAAAAGAGACTGTGCGGAAGTAGGGAGGAAGATGGACAGTGTATTCTTCACCCCAAAACGGAGAAAGTGTCTTCCATATTGTTGCTGTCCTAAAAGACAAAAACAAAACCTATTATGATATATGAATATTTGGAAGTTTTTCCAGTGTTCCATTAAATGATTAACAATATGGTAATCTTCAGATATGTTTTGTAAACACAGCACATCACATTTTCACTCATCAGACTCATGAGGCTTACTCCATGTTAATGATTAGCATAAAGCAAAGCCTGAGGAAATAAACGTCAAACTAGGATCCATACTTAACATTTATTTACCATCAGATTTAGCGTTCCAGTGGGGAAAAAGGTAACTTATTGACCTAAAAAAATCATTGTGGCTTAGAGTACACTCACGTAGAATCCACCGTAGATATCAATAGTGTGACTGTTAAACCTTTCTGTTGGCTGAAAAATATGTTCTTTTTATAGGCGCTAGTGTCAGAAAAGCAATGATGAAGTAAACAACACATAAGACCCTAAGTTCAGTTTAAACTTTCAGTGTTCGCATTGCTTTTAGTCCCAGCTAACCTACCCTACCCGCCATGCTAAAAGCCAGGGCTGGGGGAATTTAGATATTAATGATTATCACAATAAACATCATATATGTGTATATATACAGTTGAAGTCAGAATTATTAGCCCCCTAAAATTTCCAAAACTTCTGTTTAATGGAGAGAAGATTTCTTCACCACATTTCTAAACATAACAATTTTAATAAGTCATCTCTAATAACTGATTTATTTTATCTTTGTCATGATGACAGTACATAATTGTCACAACCAGCGATCGCTTCCCAGAGGATCGCTGGTTCTCACACGAACTTGAAACTACATTTCCGCATTTCCCAGGACTACATTTTCACACATGCACTGCTCCCAAACACGCACACCTGCTCACTCATGTTTCCTGATTGCTTCACCAGCTGGACCTTGTTCACAGACTGATTACATCCCATTCATAAGCCACTCTCTCACGCCACCAGTTTGCCGAGTCTTGTTTCCCTGTATACATTACAACGCGTTTCCCTGTCTTGTTTCTCCGTGTATCGATCCTAGCCTAGTACCTTGTCTTCCTGTTTAGCTGCCTGCCTTTTGACCATTTGCCTGTTTAAACGTTTACGATTCTGGACTGCCTTCATATACCTGTTTGCACCTGATGACCATTGCTTGCCTGACTGTTGAATAAACTGCATAGTGGATCTTACCTCCTGTGGTCTCCTGTCACTCCACCCCAGTCCTGGTTACAATAATATTTTACTGGATATTTTCAAGACACTTCTATACAGCTTAAAGTGACATTTAAATGCTTAACTAGGTTAATTAGGTCACTAGGCAGGTTAGGGTAATTAGACAAGTTATTGTATAACGATAGTTTTTTCTGAGGACAGTCGGGGGAAAAAATGTACTTAAAGGGGCGAATAATTTTGTCCTTAAAAAAAAAGGTGCTTCTACTAAATACTGAGCAAAGGGTCAGAATTCTTAAGACCATGTGATATTTCATTTTATATATATATATATATATATATATATATATATATATATATATATATATATATATAAATCTGCAAAAATGTCAACAATTCTGTGTTTTTCTGTCAATAATGATTGCTGTGTGAACATTAATAAGGAAAAAAAATCTTAAATGATTTTAGCAAATGGTTGCAATTTAACAAAGAGTGCAAAATTTAATTCTAATCTCAATACTTTCCGTACTCAGTGTATATTATAACTTATAGACAGATATTAGCTTCTAAACAGACTTTATTTATAAGCCACACAGTTATTATGTGTTTTATCATCAGACAGGTCTTCACTTTGAAAAATATTGGGTTCCACACAATTCCTTCTTGTTGCCCAACACATATCGATTAAGTTAACTTAACTGTTTCTATTCTTTTTAAGCCTAGCATTCACTGTGCAATTTTGGCTCTGATTTTCTGCTGAATTCACACTCTTGCGACTCTTCCTTTAAAGAGTAGTTTGTCGTGCTTTGTTCATGCAGTGTTCGTACAAGTGTGTATTAAAGATGTAGAGCAGGGGGGTTACTACATTTCACTGTGAGAAACACAAAATGTGGTGTAAGAGCGTGAGAACAGGTTAAAATGCATGAGATCCCTGTTAGTTTTTGTGCCCTCAATGCACCTGCACAAAAAACAGAAACAGACACACAGTATTCAATACTAAAAGCACTGGTGCAATATCAATGAATATACAGTATACCAGAATACACGAAACAATTAAAACTGTATGATATTCTGTTCATATATTTGTGTCATACAGATCTGATTATATTTTTTTTCATTCATTCATTCATTTTCTTGTTGGCTTAGTCCCTTTATTAATCCGGGGTCACCACAGCGGAATGAACCGCCAACTAATCCAGCACGTTTTTACTTCCAGCCGCAACCCATCACTGGGAAACATCCACACACACTCATTCACACACACACTCATAAACTATGGACAATTTAGATTACTCAATGCATCTGTACCGCATGTCTTTGGATTGTGGGGGAAACCGGAGCACCCGAAGAAAACCCACGCAAACGCAGGGAGAACATGCAAACTCCCCACAGAAACTCCAACTGAGCCAAGGCTCTAACCAGCGACTTTCTTGCTGTGAGGCGACAGCACTACCTACTGCACCACTACGTAGCCTAGATTTTTTTTTTTCACATCCAAAAACAAAAACTATGGTTAAGTTGATTATTGACTGTGTTGTTTTTTTTGACTGTGTGTGTTTCTGTAAATAACTTCCTTCAATTCAAACATGACCATAAGCACAATAAAGTTTTAAACATTTTTCTCAAATAGAGATTCCGAACGTGCAGAGAACATTCAATAATAGTTTCCATAAGCTAACTGAAACATTAACAAAATGTTCTTGGAGCATATTTGTGTTTGCTGGGGTGGCAGTGGCAGTGTTTTCATGCATATAATATGTTTTTTCATTTCTCCACCTCCTACTCTAAACTCCATGTGGAGCAGCAGGAATCAATATGCCCACACTGTACTGCCGGTCACAGCACATATATATATTTCGTGTGTGTGTGTGTGTGTGTGTGTGTGTGTGTGTGTTTGTGTTTTGAACCTCCACCATCAAACTGCTCAAATCAAACGAGAGGTTTGTTTAGTATGACCTTTTATACAGCTGCCAAGTGAGTAGGTACACAAGCAGTACAGCCACACAGCGGTCTATGGCACAGGAGGGATTTCAATTATGTGGCACAAATTAAATTAGTTCTGCTTCACTGAAAATTTCATTTCTAACCTGTTTGGGTTAGGAAAATAGACTTATTACAGGCTGTATTGAAGCCCAGAGCCAATATTAGATCACCAAACACTGCGTCTCAAATTGAAATGTCAGAAAATAAAAATAAGAAGCATACCTACCGAATTATTGCTTCATTATCAATCTTCACGATGCAGTATGGATCACTGCTTCCAGTTCTGCAAGTGAAATCAACAATAACGTTAGAGAATGCAAATAAACTCTGAATAGTTACAATCTCATGATCACACATGATTGGTTTGTGCAATCAAGAATGTTCACAACATGCTAATTAGGATACTTTTGCTCTGTTAGATCAGCAACAACCGACAACAGGAAGGTAATACATTACATTTATGGTTCTATAGATTGGAATATGAATTTCTATGGATATATATATATATATGTATGTATATATATATATATATATATACACACACACACGTGTGTGTGCGTGCGTGTATTATTATAACCACAAAGGATGTTATAATTTCATTCATACAATAAAAAAAACAAAGTTTTATTTCTTTCTTTTTATTTATTTAACCATGAGAATCTAACCATAGTATAGTAATTTATAGGGTAACCACAATTGGTTAAAATGTTTTTATCTCTTTTGATAATAAATTAGGGTTATTCCACCAAATACTGATGCAACTTTTCTTAAACATTATGGGCCCTATCATACACCCAGCGCAATGTGGCGCAAGGCGCCGCGCAATACTTGTTTGCTAGTTTCAGCTTGGCGCAAGAGTCGTTTTGAGGCGTTGCGCTACGCTGTTTAAATAGCAAATGCATTAGCGCTCATATGTGCGCCCATAGGCGTTCTGGTCTAAAAAGGAAGGCGTTTTGAGGCGCACTGCTGGCGCGTTGCTATTTTGAGAAACTGAAATAGATTTTTCATTAGACCAAAACAAACCCGGTCTAAACTCCGGCGCAGAGTTGCGCCTCACTTACACATTGATTAATACGCACAAGAGAGCAATAGGCAAATATCTTTAGATATGAAAAAATGTAAATATTAAGGAAAAATATAGGATATAAAAAGAATAGATATAGGATATAAATATAAAGGATTAAAATATTACAAAACATATTATTTTCTAGCCTACATAAATATGAAAAATCACTGCTTTTATGTCTTCATCTCGGGAGGCTTTTTCAGTTCATTCATAACAATTTGCTTTTGTATAATGTTATTATTATTAGCAGTATTATTTATTATATCCATATTTATATTTGTTTTATTAAAAACAAGCTTAGATTTGCCCAACTGTCAGGTTTTAGACCATATGGGGCACAGCATGTGTTTTAGGATATAACTCAGGTTTTTGACCACATTTTGCTATTACTATTCATTTATTCGTTTGCTGGAAATTAGAACTGAATTTAGAAATAGTTTTGAAACGAATATTTGCGCTTAACAAATGCATTTAATTATTTACAGACTAATTGATGTCTGTGCGTAAAGGTTTCCCTATCCAAGAGCGAAAGTAGATCTATTATCTCTCATTCTCACGCAGTAGATGCTCCGTTTAACAGTTTTCTGTTAAAAAAACTGTTAACTGTTTGCTAGTTAAATGCTCAGTTTTTCCACTTAGACTTACTTTGCGTCCTGTAAATAGTGAATGCGCTCTTGGCGCGACGCAGCTGGGTCTTAAAGGGAATGGGAGATGAGATTCTAATTGGTTTATTCTCAAAACACACCTATAACTCATTAAGAAAATAAACTCCACCCTTTTAGACCATGCGCCACGGCGCAAAACGGATTTTCCCATCCGTAAATTAGCAAAAATGCGTGCTGACACGCCCTGAAAGCGTTTGCACCCTGCATTTTTCGCTCTGTGCATGGACCGTCAAAATAGAGCCCTAAGATTGTGTTGTCTAAAAATTATTTTTTATTACTTTATGTTCTAAATGACAACATGTTTATTTTTCATTTGGACAAATGCCAGAATAATAATAGTTTGCAGAATAAAACAGAAATGACATTTTAATAAATAAATAAATAATAATAATAATAATAATAGTAATAATAATAATAATAATAATAATGGTTACGATTATCATGCCAATGATTCGGTTCAATTTGATATCTCAGTGCATATTTTACTTAGCAACAAAATAATTATTGTATTAAAATGTATACATATATTTATATTTATATATTACATGTAATACACTTTTGTTCTTTAATACAAGCAGTCAAATATGTTCTGTACCTTGACCTGCTCAAAGAAAACACTCTATTTGAATGTATCAAACAAAACTTAAGTACATGCACAGAACAACATGAGCATTTATAGCAAATAAACTAATGTAAAATGTATCCTGCGTGCTTTTTGAGCATTGTTGAGCAAGTTCTTAAACGCCTATGATTGGTCACGCACTAAACAGAAAAGGTTGCTGCTGTGGTGGTCATGGAGGAGTGGAGAGCATGAGACTGATTCCTGTGACACTCCATGGACAGACGAGTCTTCGCTGAGGTCCAGCTTTCCAGCCTCCGGCATCTAGACTGCAGCTTTGCACGTTTAGCCAGAGGAGAAATGGTCGTGCCCAACTGAGCCTGGTTTCTCTCGAGATTTTTTAATTTTTCACTTTTGCCAATTGGTGAACCTTTTTCCTCGCCGTTGTCGCCACAAGTTTGCATCGTTCGGGATCTGTAAAGCTGCGCATCGATGGATTTGCTCTTCAGTGTTTGGACTCTCAGTAGTGATTATTAAACCACACTGAACTGAGCTAAACTGAACTGAACTTAAACACTGAAAACTGAACTGCACTATATCAATTTACTATGATCTTCTATGTGAAGCTGCTTTGACACAATCTACATCAGGGGTCTCAAACCCGCGGCCCGCGGGCCATTTGCGGCCCTCAGTGCAATATTTTGTGGCCCGCGCCGACCGCTGTACTCTGACAGAATCAGCGGAGCGGGGAGAGAGAGCGCTCCCCGCTCCGCTGATTCTATCCGTACACAGCGCGCTTGTCACTCAATGCGCGTTGTCGCGCGCGTTCTGATCAGCTGTGTTGTCGCGCGCGTACTCAAGAGCGGTGTTATCGCGCGCCTACTGAAGGGCGGGACCGAGGGTGTGTCGCGTCGCGGGGGCACTTTTGATCATTTTGGAAGGGCGCTTTCTATGCAAGACTAAAAAGGGCATGTGCTCTGCACAGGTTGAGCCCTATGTGTGCACGTGCCTGCCCTGCATCTTATATATATTGATATTATAGGTAGATACAGACTGGTACAGACTGATGTGACTGGAGTGGGGTGGGGGTGTTTTATTTATACATATATACGCCTTTTTTTGAGGTGAGGAAATGGAAGTTTTGAGTGAGTTCCCCCACTTTTTTCCCTAGGACTTCAATAAGTCAAAGTACAGGTCTAGACTTAATGATGATCATCTTCAAGCCATACTGAGGGTCTCAACTGCTTCCGCTCTAAAGCCAAATGTGGTTCAGATTTGTGAGAAGAAGCGCTGTCAAGTCTCTGGCAGCAAGGAGTAGGCAAAAGATGCCATGTTCAGAAGAACTGTTCATAATCTTCACTCAATGTTCTATTAATGTTCAGGACACTTCTTGTTCAGAAGAAATAATTAAAACTGTTAATAATGACATTTGAGGACTTTTTTTTTGTGAAATCCCTTATGCGGCCCAGCCTCACCCAGACTTTGCCTCCTGCGGCCCCCAGGTAAATTGAGTTTGAGACCCCTGATCTACATGGTAAAAGCGCTATACAAATAAAGGTGAATTGAATTGAATGTTTTACAGAGCAGATGCCCTTCCAGCTGCAACCCAGTACAGGGAAGCACCCATATACACTTATTCTTACACACATTCATACACTGGGCAATTTAGTTTATTCAATTGACCTATACTGTTTGTGTTTAGACTGTGGTAGAAACCCAGAGGAAACTCACGCAAACATAGGGAGAACGTGCAAACTACATACAAAAATGCCAACTGGTCCAGCCTGGACTTGAACCAGTGACCTTCTTGCTGTGATGCAACAGAGCTAACCACTGAGCCACTGTGCCACCTAAAAAGTATAAACAATTAATCAAAAAAAAAAAAAAACCTGTACAGATTTTTTTCTCTCTTCTCAGAAACACATTTGAATGTATAAAAAATAAACTTGATTCTGATGCTTGAAAATCCCTTTTGATGTTTGACACTTAACCCATCATCCTAATTATCCCAAACTACACTCATATTGTTGCCAACTTCATCCAATTAAACAAATTCATTAGGGGTAAATGTGAAATCCTCATCTCATAAACCACACGCTTCAGCGTTCATTAAAGCAATATAATCACGCCTTCCCCTTAATACCTCTATTTGTGCTTGCGTTCGCCATACATTAAGCATTTCCAATCATTTTCATTTCCACAAGCCAGCGTGCGATAAGAAAGCACTCGCAGGTGCTCTCAGATGAGCCACGAATTGACAGAAAGCAAGTGTAGAGACGTCTAACGTCACCGTGAGGATATTGAAATTCCTCTGTGGAGGTAATAACTGCCCTTGGCAACTTTGCTACGCTGTATGAGTGTTTGCGTGCGTGTGGTGTGTATGTGTGAGGAGAATGAGTGCATCATGCGGTGATTCATCTTCGCCTGTTGTTATCAGTGTAATAGGGAAACCTGTGGCTGTCAGAATCAGGTGCTACATCAAACAGCAGCGCGACTTGGCAGTTGAACCACATACTATCATCCTCATGCCACCTGCACGCCGAGGATAGAGATGATCACAAAAGAGTGTCTCCTCTGTCATTCTCACTGCTTCTCTTATCTTCGGTGGCCATAATGTGTTGTTTGGGGACTGAGAGAGACACTAGAGTCAGTTTACGATCCTTTTTTTTTATGTCCCACATGTGACAATGAGAATTAAATAATGGGTTGCATGTCTTATAGGGCTGCACAGTATATTGCTTTAGCATCGATAATGCAATGCGCGAAGCTGGAATAGCCATATTACATGATGCAATGTAGAGCTGGGATTATAGTTGACCAGAAGCTACATTTCAGAATAGGGCTGCACAAATACTATAAAAAATGCAGGGCTCCACAATTCATTCATGTCGTCCCAACACAAATCCGTTAAGTTAAAGGGGTGGTCCACTATGATATCATATTTTAAACTTTAATTGATGTGTAATGAAGCTGTGTGAAAATAAACAGCATCT